ATCTGTCTATATTTCTGAGCTAAGATATTGTGATTATTTACACTATTTACATTGTTCGGACTGTTGTCCTCATCTTTATTGTCATATTCGCGACTTTTCGGTCGTTGTACGCTCCAGCCTTCTTCAGAATCTGTCTATATTTCTGAGCTAAGGTATTGTGATTATTTACACTATTTACATTGTTCGGACTGTTGTCCTCATCTTTATTGTCATATTCGCGACTTTTCGGCCGTTGTACGCTCCGGCCTTCTTCAGGCGATTGAAATTTCGAACTGAACCCTTTATTCCGTAGGTTGTTCTAGTTCTACGTACCATGCCTGTTTCGGATGTCACACTTACCTCCCTTTAACTCAACTCTCCATGTTTTTGTTCATCACTGCAATCGGATATCGAACTCACAACTCTTTGGGTCAAATCACTGGATCATACCAATGATTTTATCCACTGGACCATGTGTCCTTGAGGGTTTACTGATTCCGTTTTGTACACATTTTGCTTATCTTTACGTCTTTCTTTCTTTTTATGAATACGCACGTGTAAAAAAAACGAAGTAAAAAAAGCGGATTGGAAAAGACGCCGAACAAATTTAAAAAATTGAAAAAAAAAAAAATATCGTTTAGAACCACAACCCCTGAAGACTGGAAATTTTACCAAGAAACTTCGAAGTCGGGATAAAATTGATATTTAAATGTTAAGTAATCTTTTCATATAATATCATTAACGCTCTATTTTTAATTTTATTTTAATATTTTTTAATATTGAGCACCATATATAAAATATTTGCTATTTCTTAAATCATATATATATATATATATATATATATAGAGAGAGAGAGAGAGAATCTGTGTGAGAGAGAGAAAGAGATATGGATTAACAGGCATATTCTTGTCCACCTTTACAATACAAGAAAATACTTGTTGAAAACACCAACATACGTACTTAAGAAACAAAATCCACAACTTCAGGAAGACCTCTATTTATTACGACTATAGCAACAACTTATTAAAGTGCTTATAAATTTTAATGGCATTTTATATTTCTACCAATTCTCGGTCAGCTCCCTTCAGTTGAAATGATTATTTTGTAAAAGATTCCATAACTACAATGGATAGTTCAGTAATAAAATAGCTATATCATCTTAAAATATATTAAGGGGAGCAAAACTTCTAACAGTAAAGTATTCGATAGTTGTCTAGAGCAATTACTATTAAGCCGGAATAATAAAGTTGACAATGCTTATCGAAGATTTCTAACTCTTAGGGAATTCGGATAAAAACAGCGTGAGAGAGGGAGAGAAACAGTATGGCTATTAATGTAATGAATATACATACACCTGGGTTCCCCCTCACAGTAATATGATTGGCTGGTGTCAGCCATAAATACAGACTGATGTGGAGGTACAGGGACGACGCCTATTGCCTACCACTACGACGAGGACCAGTCCATTACGGTTACCTGCTCGATTGTCTTACTCGGTTACAGTAGTCCAAAACCACTTTGCTACTTCGAACAAATATATACCTTTCCGGGACATATCAGCTATAGAAACCATAATGCATAATGTCTGTCAGTTTAACGCTGGCAGCGATCTTCAAAATGAAACATTTCCAAGAATTTGGGAACAAAATACCAGATGTTTTTTTAGAATGAAGGCATAATTCTACCCAAGACCTATAGAAATCAAAGACGGGCTACTCCAGACCCCAAATGGAACTCATATATATGATCCCTTGCTAAAAATGGTGGGGAAATGGTCGGCTCACCCTTTCCGCTCTAGAAAGTACATGATACGTCCTGCCATGATGGGCACCTCGGCGTGGTGTAATGGTTAACAAGCTTGTCTTGCTAGATCAGTTACTACTGAAAAGTGAGTTTGATCCTCACTGGATGGTCCATACTTTCGGCCTTGTGCCACATCTAAGCTACGCTTGGAAAATCTCTACATCCTGCCATGATTTTTCTTTACATGATTAAAGCAAAAATATATATATATAATATATTGTTGGCACATGTTAGCCGGAGTTACACAACCTCACTCTCCAGTTCAGAAGGCCGACAGTGTTTTTTCCCACACACGCATCTTTGCAAGTCTATAACTGTTCTGATGCTATTTCTATAGAAAATCTTCAAATGAGCTCTATTCTTCATCCAGTAGAGAGATTTACAGCTAGGATACGCTAACTAAAATACATCCCAGGAGTCGAATCAGTCTCATTTCTCCGCCGTATTCAAATTTCAATGAGGAAGTTACATTTAGCTACTTTTTGAAACAGACTCCTGCGTGGATGCTTCCCTGACCAATCCAACCTCTTTAAGCCAAGGATCTTCATTGCGCTCATAATGTTCACGTCATTAGGTAATCCTCTACCTTGAATAACTCTCGGGGCTTGCGTTGGTTCTGTTAGGCGATTACGGTAAGTTCTCTATTTGTAATCCGAGAATAAAATTCATACTTGTCTCAAATCTTCGTTGCTTTGGTCCAATGTTAAATTCTTAACGCTCTCCACAGACATAAGTGTCTACCTTTTTTCTCTTTTTTTTTTGTGGGGGTGGGGATTAGCAGTGTGGTCAGTTTGCCAAATATTCCTCACAAGTTGGAGAGGGAATACGGTAATGGCGCCAATGAAGCTGGCTCCGATAGGCAGAGTACAGAAAACACCAGACAAATTGATAAGAAACTTGTTCCCCGGCCTTCAACGTCTTTGCCTAACACACAGGTGGCTTAGTGTGAAAGCAATATTTAAACTTAAAATTGTTACAGTCAACAGAAGCAGATAGGAATTGTTGCAAGCATTTCTAGGAAACAGTGAGACCGACAAATCAATATTGTTACGAATCAGTAAGAAGTCACTATTTACATTTTTCGGACTATTATCCTCATATTCATTGCCATATTCACGACGTTTCGACCGTTATACTTCTTCAAGTGATATTTGTTGGAATTTCAAACCGAAACTTTTATTTAGTTCACATGGATAGATTGTTCTAATTCTACGAGCCATGCCTTTAAAACAATAAACAATACCGAGGAGTGAAGGTAGTTAAAATAATAGCGGTGTCAAGGTAAAAACCATTCGTGTGACACTTGGTTTTTTTTGGGGGGGGAGTGTTTTTTGCCGGACGAAGATTCAAGATTGCCAGCAATTTATTAAAAATCTCAGGTAAAATGCTTAGTAAAGAGCAAAGGTTAAGATAATCTTGAGATTTAATTAAATGTTAACAATTCATCTCAAATAATATGATTAAATCTTTAAAAAAAAAAAACAACTATAAATAACGCAGGAAACTCATTAAACATTAACAATTCATTTGAACGTTTCAAACAAAACAAACAAAGATTAGAGAAATCAAGAAACCTCGTCCTCAATTGAAAATAGCTGACCATCCCCAAACCCCGGGGACAATAATTAGTTTCTAAATCTCACGGTTGTAATCTGGGATTAGAAATGCACCCCCCCCAAAAAAAAAGTAGGGATTACCGTTCATTAATGCACTATGAAAACTGGTGATATTTTTGTGGCACAAGGCCGAAGGGGAAATGGGAAAGGCTGGACGTCACTGTCCTACACCTAGCTAGTCTAATTCGCAACCTATTCATTCGCCACAAAAACCCATCCATGTCCATTCAACCCAACATATACCGCAATACCACATATTCAGAGCAATCCTACTAAAACCTACTAAAATTTCGCAAAATATTCAATTTATTCTTTTCTTTTTTTTCTTTTTCAATTTTCATACAAAAATAAGTAAAAAATTTATCATGAAATGAGAGATTGAGGGGACGAAACCAAAAATAACGAAAATAAAAGAATCCCAAGTTTTTCAAACAGAAACAAACTGTTTTAGTAAGACCCGCCCACGCCACAGAAAAAATAAGATCAGCCTCTATATTCCATCGATAAGTAGAACTAAAAAGCTCGTTCGCTAAAAGCAGGAAGCGGCAAAATAAATGACGGAGTGGGAAAATATCAATGGCTGATCGAGTCAAGACGAAAAGGGTTCTAAAAAAACAAACTGAGGAGGTTAGGAATGTTGACAATCTTTAACGAAAGAGAGCGCTGGGAACGGGTCAGGATCGACAATCTCTCACATTAAAGGTGAACAAAAGAAGTCTAGCTTAACCATGGATGAGGCCCGACTGAAATCCGCCCCGTTGTGTCATTAGGAGACTAAAAAAAATGAAAAATCAAAGTTCGATTCACGCGAACAAAGCTCGCAACATTTACACATTTCGCTAAAATCTGCCGAAAACAAACGCTTTCTATCCGTTCCGATCTTCATCCTAAGCTGATGCCCAAAGAATCTGGCGTCGAGATCTCATCGTTTTAGAGTGGAACTGTCTAGATGTAGCCGTAAGTTCTATGCTAACAGTTTCTTCTATCGTACTTCTTTCATGTGGAACACGCTTCCGGGTCAATGCTTTCCACCCAACTTTGATCTTCAAAAATGTAAATGCAATTTCAATCGTTATCATCTGTCTTCTTAATTCTTGTTCTTTTATTGTTCTCTATCGTTAATAATGATTTTTTTCTCTTGTTCTCTCCTAGCCAGTGACCCCTAGCGTCTCTGTGGCATTATTGCCTTGCTTCGTTGAAATGATTAAAAATAACAGATTATTCAGATACAAAGAAAAATCCGCAATATTATTGGTCCTGACCTGGCATCTCGGCTTCAGTCTCTTTTCCACCCGCCGTAACGTAGCTTCCCTCTGCCTTTTCTATAAATATTTCCATGGTTATTGTTTAGTCTTGTATTGTTCTCGCTCCTTAATAATGTTTCTGTTTCCTAATTCTTTCACGGTCAGTAGTAATCCCTTGTGTCTTAGTGGCTTTACTGCCTTACATGGGGTGAATTTAATTTAAAAAAATATTCGAGCAATGATAAAATGCCAGAAATGATTGAATTTTGGCAGGACAATCCTTGGCAAAAAAAAAATGAGCGGGAACCTATTTGCAAAGTTTCATTGGTTGATTAATCTGATTGGTTGATTGATGTGATTATCCGTATATGGGGTAGAGATAGAGATAGAGGGGGGATCGAGGCTCCGTTTGATTGGCCAGAAAGGAAATCTAATTCGATTAATAAACAATATCATTCGATTATGATTTTCCATTATTAGATTACGAAAATACCGATCAACAATTTATTGAGTTTTAAAACATCAATGGATGACATTCCGATCGAAATCTAATTTTGGCAAAACATTGAACCAACAGGTACATTCTTTTCTTTTTTTTTTTTTTTTAAGCAGATTCCAAAGAGAATGATGTTGCTCATTACATTCGAGTGGGGGCTGAAAAGTTCATAGGCTGACTATGAAGGAGTGATGTTAGAGTTGGAAAATCTTGCATGCATTAATTTCAACTCTTCTTATTAATAACCGCAGTGTTTCTTATTAGAAAAGTAACTAGTAGCAAATTCTCTTTGAAATAGACAAACTGAGACATACAGATAGATAGATAGATAGATAGATAGATAGATAGATAGATAGATAGATAGATAGATAATAAACTGGGATAGATAGGTAGATATATAGATGGATAACAAACTGAGATAGATAGATAGATAGATAGATAGATAGATAGATAGATAGATAGATAGATAGATAGATAGATAGATAATAAACTGTGGTAGATATATAGATGGATAACAAACTGAGATAGATGTTAAGATGAGATAGATAGATAGATAGATAGATAGATAGATAGATAGATAAAAATAAACTGAGATAGATAGATAGATAGATAGATAGATAGATAGATAGATAGATAGATAGATAGATAGATAGATAAAATGAGGTAGATATTTAGATAGATAATAAACTGTGATAGATAGATAGATAGATAATAAACTGAGGTAGATATTTAGATAGATAATAAACTGTGATAGATAGATAGATAGATAGATAGATAGATAGATAAACTGAAGTAGATATTTAGATAGATAATAAACTTTGATAGATAGATAGATAGATAGATAGATAGATAGATAGATAAAGAATAAACTGAGATAGATAGATAGATAGATAGATTCGAGGATGGACTGAAATTCACAACTCTTCTTACTGCATTGTTTCTTTCCAGGTAAACTGGCATCCGACTCTTCAAAGAAGACTGTTCATCCTGTTGGTCAAAACAATCATTAACAGCAAATATGATGTCATCATCACCGCGATACTGGTTCTCAGCAAAATGTTTTTTCATGTTGGGGAACAGATGATAGTCAAATCAGGAGAACAGAGCAGCTGATCAACCTGGCCAAACCGTCAGTCACGTACAGCAACCACTGAAACCAAGCTGAACCATTGTCCTGATGAAATCGGAACGCTATCGTCAAATTTGCTGGTTGTTTGGTCTTGATCGCCTTTCTTAACTGCCGCAGCAAGTTAGCCTAGTACTCTCCATTGATGGTGTGGCCCTTTTAAATATAGGCATTAAACAGAATACCTTATGTATACCAAAAATTTGAGGCCATCACTTTCCCTGCAGAGGAAACGAACTTGATCATCTTGGGTGCAGGTAAGGATGAGGGGGTTTCCACTGTATGGATTATCCCTTGTGCTAAACCAAAGTGCCGATTGTAGTTACTTCCTCGCGTTTAACAGATGAAAACATAAATCATAATCATTTTATTAGGTATCAGAAGACGTGGCACCCACCGAGCTGAAACCCTAGACATACCAAGTTCATTGTGCAGAATATTCTCAACTCCCTCGCTATTTAGTTTATAATCAATCGCCTATCTATCTATCTATCTATTTATCTATCTATCTCATCTTAACATTTATCTATACATTGTTTCGTATTTATTTATTACAAAGGATCTAAACTTAATCGAAAAATAATTAAGTTAGTTGAGTTAAAAAAAACCTTACTGTAAAGATGCTATGTATTCATCATTATTGATATATGACAGTATTTACACTATTTATACTCGGACTATTGTCCTTATCTTGGATATAACGAACCCAACTGGAATTGGAACTCGGCCCTCCGATTAACAATTTCGAGTCATTATTCATTACACCGCCCGAACATCAGAGCTTACACCACCTGGGATTTCCAAGCGGTCACCCAGGTATTGACCAAGCTCGACGTTGCTTAACCTCCATGATTGTATAGGAATGTTTGAACATAAGCCTGCAGAGAATGAAATGAAACAAAATGTCTGGTGCGCTTTTGACCAGGTATCAGAAGACGTGGCAACCACCAAGCAGAAACCTTCGTCTTGCCGAATTAATTGTGCAAAATATTCTCAACTCTCTCACGGTATACGCTAATAGTATTTAATTTCCCAGTTAAGTGTTTTTTCATGTTGGGGGTCAGATGGGACCAATTCCAGAGAATAGAGAGTGTGATCAACCTGTTCAAAGCCACAAAGGACGTGTGTGCTGGATCATTGTCCTCATAAAACAAGACCCCTTTCGTCAGTTTTCCTGGTCGTTTCATCTTGATAACGTTTCGCAACTGCTTCGGCAAATTGGCATAGCACTCTCCGTTGATGGTGTGGCCCTTTATAAGATATTCAGTAAACACAATGCCTTTTGCATTCCAAAAATCTGAGGTCATCGCTTTCCTTGTAGAAGAAACGACTTTAGCCTTCTTTGTAGCAGGTAAGGGGAGATGTTTCCACTGCTTCGACTGTCCTTTTGTTTCTGCCTCAAAGTGATGAATCAGACACTCATCCTGTGTGAAAAAACCTTCAAGGAAACCAGCTGAACATGCCTTAAATAATATCAGATTTTCCCATGATGTGCGCTTTTGATTAGGTATCAGAAGATGTGGCATCCACTGAGCAGAAACCCAGGTCATGGCAAGTTCATTGTGCAGAATATTCTCAACTCCCTCGAAGGAGATTCTAATAGCATTGGCTATTTAGTATATAATCAATCGCCTATCATCCATCAACATGTGTTGAACACGATCAATGTTTTCCTCGCTGGTGCCTGTTGCCGGACGTCCAAACTTTTAGTCATCTACGAAATTCCTCCTTCCCCTCCGAAATTTAACTTCCCACTTTTGCACTGTTGATGAAGCTGGAGCTTCACCACCCCCAACCCCCGAACGTAGCAACCATGTCAGCATGAATGTCCCCATGGCTAAAATCTTTTTACAGGGGGTACTTGATAACATCGTGATGCTAAATTTTGTCCATTTTCAAGTGAAAATAATACAGTTATTAAAGTTATTAATAAGAAGAGTTGAAATGCAGGCATGCAAGATTTCACGGCTCTAGCATCACTCCTTCATAGTCAGCCTATGAACTTTTCAGCCCATCCTCGTACCTGGAAAGAAACAATGCAGTTTTTAATGAGTTGAAATTAATGCATGCAAGACATCACAGCACCAGCATCACTCCTTCATAGTCAGCCTATGAACTTTTCAGCCCATCCTCGTACCTGGAAAGAAACAATGCAGTTTTTAATGAGTTGAAATTAATGCATGCAAGACATCACAGCACCAGCATCACTCCTTCATAGTCAGCCTATGAACTTTTCAGCCCATCCTCGTAGCTGGAAAGAAACAATGCAGTTTTTAATGAGTTGAAATTAATGCATGCAAGACATCACAGCACCAGCATCACTTCTTCATGGTCAGTCTGTGAACTTCTCATTCCACACTTGCAACTATGTATCTATCTATCTCAGTCTATTTTTCATCTATCTCTCTACACACACGCATATATATATATATATATATATATATATATATATATATGGCGCATTTTGTCTATTTTCAAATTTTCAAGAGAATTCGCTATAAGTTACTTTTGAAGTCTTCTTTGAACCTGGAAAGAAACAATGCAGTTATTAGTAAAAAGAGTCGAAATTAATGCATGCAAGATTTCACAGTTCTAGCATCACTCCTTCATTGTCAGCCTATGAACGTTTCATTTAACCATCGTAATTACGAAAAAGATATACATTGCCCATCAAAAGGCTAAGGGAAGAAAATCCCAAGAAAAAAGATTGTGTTGCGCCAGTCTTTCTAAATACGAAAGCGGATTTTCTTGGAGTAAGGATCAGAAAGATGTCCTCGCAGATCGTAAGTCGTGAATTTGATTCTCACTGAGTACCGTAAGGCTTCGTTCCAAAATGAAGATGTGGAGAGCTTATCTCTATCTATAAAAGGCAGAATGTGTGTGTGTGTGTGTGTGTGTGTGTGTGTGTGTGTGTGTGTGTGTGTGTGTGTGTGTGTAACGAATGCACAGTCTCAATTTTCGACGGATTTGCACCAAAATTTACATGCACATGCTCCAAGTTAGCGGGAAGGCCAAGACTGACTTTGCATTTCCCAACTCCCATCGATAGTAGAAATAATCGATTTTTTCATGCTTCTACGGCAGTTTTCATGTAGTTTGCAGCCATTTTCTAGTGGCCAGAGTGAGAGCCTATAGCTGGCTGTCACGAATAGGTAGGAAGATTCTATTGGCCAGCGTGAGAGCCAACAGCTGACTGACATGAATGTTAACTAGCATGCTAGCATGCAAAAAAAAATCGGTAGCTGCATTCGTCGTAAGTGGGAAAAATTTAAATCTGCATGGCACTTTACTCCAATTGGCTCATTCGCTTGCTTAAACTCAACGTTGATTCTGATTCCGCAGAACTGGGTTGGGTGTGAAAAAGTATTTGTTGTTAACATTCTTTTTTCCTTTGGTTTTTCCAGTTACCAGTTCCTTTTTTAAAGCGATCGTTTTGTGTTCATTTTGTTTAGTTTCTTTTTCGTAACAGATTTAATGTTTAGTATTGAGCTTAGAAAAAATTCTGTGAGTGTGAGATAGGCATGTAGCAATATCAGCACGGCAAAGGGCACTCCTTCAAAGGCAAGGAAGGGCAAAAATATTTTAAGTCAAGTAATAGCGATTGCTGTATGAGTCGTACGATTTTTGAATCAAGCACAGGCAACGCCGGGCCATGCTGCTAGTATGCTTCTAAAATCGTCATTCGGAATCTGGGATTTTAAGAGGTCTTGAACCGCCGGCATTAGCAAGCAAACTACTTTTGAGGCCACATAGAATATTAAGGGAGTGATTGGTGATGGATTTCGGCAAAGATTTTATTGCAACAATTTATTTATGTTGTAAAACGCTTATTTTTTATGAGGATTCAAAATTCAGAAATAGATGTTTATGGTTCTCTACAACTTCCTTTAATATTCCATATTAATATTGACATGATTTCATAGGAACGAGTCTATGGTCAAGTCACGTTGAAAAAAAACGGTTCTGATTCGATCACTGAAGTTAAGCAGTGTTGATCCTGGTCAGTATTTAGATGGGGGGGGGACACTTGAGAATACCCGGTACTGTAAGAAATCTCTTCAAATCCAGAATATGTTTCGGATTTAAATAACCCACAAAGGGTTGATAAACCGTAAAAAATACAAAGCAGAGTATGCGACCATTCATCACTAGCAAACCCAGGGATTAAATTTCCAGTGTACCAGATATTCTTTTTAACCAATTCTTCAATCAACTAGGCCAATGTTTGAATTAAGGGAGAGGTGGGTGAAAGGGATTTTAGTGGTATAAGACAAGGATGTGTCTTCTCGCCGGACTTATTCAGCCTATACGAGGAGGGGATCCTGATAAAATTAGAAGTTCTACCAGGATTCTTTATTTGGCGGCCACAATCTTAACAGCATAAAATATACAGGTGGCACAGTATTGATTACAGACACAGAAAGGAAAATTCTCCTACAGAAGGTAGTGAAAGAAAGCGAGAAGAAAGGACTAAACACCAATGAATGAAAGACTGGATGCATTGTTGTTAGAAAAAGGAACAGCCCAACATGCAAATTACAAAATGAAGTTATCAAAATCAAGCAGGTATAACTATTTTTTAAAATCATTTCAGTCCAAGCAAGGCAGGAGTGCCACTAGCACGCAGAGGGTTAAAGGGAGTAAAAATGAGAGAAAAGGCTGTGTATGGGGGGGATTGAGAAAAGGATAAAAGATGAAAAGGGGTCCAAGTCAACAGAAAATGGCGGTTGACATTGCATTTAAATGTTTGAAGAGTGTATTAGGTTGGTGCAAAAATAATGTCGTTTTCTCACATATGTTACTTTTATATATGATTTCTGAATTAATTCATTGATATATATATAGCCATGTTATATATCATTTTGAAGCGCGTTTTTCGCTCTATCGAATCGTGTTATTCGTTACCGTTCTCAATCTCTTCATTCATTTTTTTGCAGGCTTTTCGACAGCATGGACAAAATTCAAATCCGCACGATTTTCTTGTTCCAATTCAAACTAGGCCGAAAAGCTGCCGAGACAGCTCGTGATATCAATAATGCGTTTGGCCCAGGAACCACTAACGAACGTGTGGCACAACGGTGGTTCAAGAAATTTCGCAATAATGACGAAAGCCTCGAAGATGAAGTCGGTCGCAGCCGGCCGACTGCGGTTGATAACGAATATTTGAAAGCCTTAATTAAAGCCGATCCTTGCAAAACCACACGAGAAGTTGCTGTTGAACTCGAGGTCGACTACTCAACAGTCGTTCGCCATTTAAAGCAAATAGGGAAGTCAAAAAAGTTGGATAAATGGGTGAACGATAATCAAAAAAATCGTCAAAAAACGACATTATTTTTGCACCAACCTAATAGCTATCAGAAAAATATGTAAAAGGGAGGGAGTTCCACAGTCAGGAAGTGCGAGAAAAGAAACTGTTGGAGTAGAAGTGGCGATTATATTTAACTATTTCAACAGTAAAATGGTGGGACCTAGATGCCAATCTAGTAGCACGCTTCAATTCATGTAGTCGGGGCACCAGTGAAAAAAGATCGTTAAAGCAGCTGCCATGAAAGTATTTGCAGAAAAGACAGAGGGAAGCCAAGTCAGGTCTGTGAGAAAATGATTAAAGTCGAGATGCCAGGTCAGGGTCGATTACATTGCAGATCCTTCTTTGGATTTTGTGCAGAATCTCGAGATGAACAGCAGGGGCACCAGACCAGATATGGCAACAGTATTCCATGCATAGACGAATGGTAGATTTGTAGATGTGTAAGATGGACACTGACGAGAAAAAAAACCTTCTGGCATGACACAATGACCCAACTTTCCTTGCAATAGATGCAGCTATTGATTCAATGTAGTTGTTTCATCTCAAGTCAGTCGAAAACGTGAGGCTAAAAAGGCGTAGTGGGATGATCTCCCGTGCTGGTGGTGGACAGGGAAGTTTCTCTGGGATGGCTAAATGAGATCAGTTTAGGTTTAGTTTTGAAGGCATTAAAATTTGCAAGCAATTTTATGATTGAGGGTCCTTTCCGAGAGCAGCGGCCAGTTTGACTTTGTTAGCGCTGCCAGGTTTAATCTTTAAATATCTGGGAAGCGTTTAAACAGAAGATGGAAAATACGACACTGTAATCCAAAAGCGCATTGGGATAGCAAAGGTACCTTCTAAACGCTAAGCAAAGTATTAAGAAACTGGAAAATAGCGTTAGAAACAAAAAAAAAGCACTGAATTGTTATGTAATATTAGCCCTCCTATATGGCAGTGAATGCTGGACAATCTCCTCACAGATGAAGAGGAGACTTGAGGCTACAGAGATGTGGTTCTCTAGAAGGATGCTGAGAATACAAAGAAAAGAGTGCTTAACTGCTATGTAATATCAATCCTCCTATATGGCAGTGAATGCTGGACAATCTCCTCACAGATGAAGAGGAGACTTGAGGCTACAGAGATGTGGTTCTATAGAAGGATGCTGAGAATACAAAGAAAAGAGTGCTTAACTGCTATGTAATATCAATCCTCCTATATGGCAGTGAATGCTGGACAATCTCCTCAAAGATGAGGAAGAGATTTGTAGCAATGGAACAACGAAGTTTTGAAGCAAAATAAAACAAAAAGGACACATATTCTTAACATCAGATGAAATTTTTAGGGCACATAATAAGAAAAGAGGGTTTGGAAAATTCGACACTCACGGTACATATTGAGGAGCAGCGAGAGATAAGAAAATGTTTACAACCTACCCAATGAGATTCTGTAAATGTTTGGCAGAATAGAGATAACAAAAAGACAAAATTTGTTAAGAACTAAAAAGGAGAGGAAATTGTGGAGAGCCATGAAGTCCTGAAGGGATACGGTATTTACTCCGTCCCCTCACTAGGACGAGATGTGACACAAGGTCTATTTTTAGGTCGGGAGCCAGCGCGTACACAAATGGAACAAAAATTCCCCTCAGCCCCGGCAACCTCTGGAGGGCGCGGCTTTGGGCGGTTGTCCCCCAGGGCTGGGCACCTCTTCAGTATTATTTTCCTCAGTTACCCCTCTGTCCTTTGACAGAGCAGCCCCTGAGAGCACTCTGTCCAAAGATAGAGACGCAACTGAGAGATATTAAGTAGACGTCAAATTACTCAAAAAGAGTATTTTACACACACAAAGTCCTGAAAGCATACAGCACACAGAAGAAGACTTACAAATCTGTGAAGTCAAATTTAATGACAAAAGCGCAGCTGCTGTTCTGAAATGTAAAGCTTTTCATATTTAGGTCTGATCGATGTAACATTTTGTTTCATATCATTCTCTGCAGGCTTACGTTCAAACATCGGTTTCCATACGATTGCCGAGGTTAAGCAACGTCGAGACTGGTCAGTACCAGTTCTTCACTTGAGAATACCAAGTGGTGTAAGCTCTGATGTTCGAGTAGTGTAATGAATAATTGCTCGAAATTGTTAATCGGAGAGCCGAGTTCCAATTCCAGTTGGGTTCGTTATATCCAAGATAAGGACAATAGTCCGAATATAAATAGCGTAAATACTGTCATATATCAATAACTAGCAATAGAGCCCGGCGTTGCCCGGGGATACAACAGTAAGAGATAGATCAAGTATCGACCATCATAATGACTGAAAAATAAAATTGACAAAGATTATTGTTTAAGGTTGACGGACACGCATGTCTTAATTGCTTCTTTTTTTTTTTTTTTTTTTTACGAATTGGTCAAACCCAAACTCAAACAAAAACATTTTCAATCGTTATGAGTCTATCGATTGAATAGAATTTTATTATAAACAATTGTCTTGTAAATTGAATTTTAAAAAGCATTCTGAATGTAAAAATAAAGAAAAAAAGTGTGCAAGACAATAAGAAACACTACCTGCCAAAAAAAAAAAAAGTGAAGTTTTGTTGAAATCGGTTGAAAAATGTAGGAAATCCGATCCCATATATAAACGAACACACACACACACAAACAACCTGGGTTTTATAATAAGTATAATTCGATATGAGTTGTCCCCCTTTCATTCTCGCGATGCCTCTTAAATGTGTTTTCAAATTGATTTTCTGCAAAAACAATTGTGTTTTCCCCATTTTTGGCGCTGTCAGAGCCACCGCAATGTAATTTTACGTAGTCCTGTGAAGTTTTGTTGAAATTGGTTGAAAAATGTAGGAAATCCGATCCAATATATAAACGTACAGACAAACACACACACACACAAAATCTGCGTTTTATAATAAGTAAGATGATGAATACATGGCATCTTTACAGTAAGGTTTTTTAACTCAACTAACTTAATTATTTTCCGTTTAAGTTTAGATCCTTGATAATAAATAAATATGAAATATTGTATCGGTTTATGTTTTCGTCTGTCAAATCTGTCGAAGGATTAAATACAGTCGGCAGTTTGATTCAAAATGAATTCCCACCTAAAATATTTAAGCATGTCGTTGAGTGCTGTCTCGCACGGGGCCTGCAAAGTTATTTAACCCAGCCCGCAGCCGGGGTCGACTTGAAATAACATCCTTCGCGTCCGGTATGGGCCGGAAAGTCAAAACTGCTGCCATTGATTAAAATTAATTACATTCACAGTGATGACTTGGCGCATACATTTTTTTTAATCGGTATCACTCTATGCAAGGCAATAAAGCCACTAAGACACAAAGGGTTACAGGGTGTGGAAGAATTAGGAACAGAAACGTTAATAATGAGTGAGAAGAGAAAAGAATAATCAGGAGGACAGTAGATAGCGATTGACATTGCATTTAAATTTTTGAAGATTAAAGTTGGCTGGAAAGCATGGAGTCGGAAGGGATTTCCACAAGCAAGAAGTGCAAGAAAAGAAGCTGTTAGCATAGAACTTACGGATGCATCTAGCCAGTTCAATTCTAAATTGATAAAATCTCGACAACAGTCTAGTTCTGCACTTAAAGTTTTGGTACCATAGCGGAGAGCTCATCCAGACAATTACTATGAAAGTATTTATAGAAAAGGCACAGAGTGGCAACCTTACGGCGGTAGGCAAGTGACTGGAGCTGAGCCTCCAGATCAGGATCAATAATATCGGTGATTCTTCTTTGGATCTTATCAAGGAGCTCAAGGTAAATAGCAGGGGCAACGGACCATATGTGGCAGAAATATTCTAAGCATGGATGAATGGTAGGTTTATAGATCAGGACCAATAATATTGCTGATTCTTCTTTGGATCTTGTCAAGGAGCTCTAGATAAATAGCAGGAGCACCGGACCATATGTGGCAGCAATATTCTAAGCATGGATGAATGGTAGGTTTATAGATCAGGACCAATAATATTGCTGATTCTTCTTTGGATCTTATCAAGGAGCTCAAGGTAAATAGCAGGGGCACCGGATCATATGTGGCAGAAATATTCTAAGCATTGACGAATGGTAGGTTTACTGATCAGGACTAATGATATTGCTGATTCTTCTTTGGATCTTATCAAGGAGCTCAAGGTAAATAGCAGGGGCACCGGACCATATGTGGCAGCAATATTCTAAGCATGGATGAATGGTAGGTTTATAGATCAGGACCAATAATATTGCTGATTCTTCTTTGGATCTTATCAAGGAGCTCAAGGTAAATAGTAAGAGCACCGGACCATATGTGGCAGCAATATTCTAAGCATGGACGAATGGTAGGTTTATAGATCAGGACCAATAATATTGCTGATTCTTCTTTGGATCTTATCAAGGAGCTCAAGGTAAATAGCAGGGGCACCGGACCATATGTGGCAGCAATATTCTAAGCATGGACGAATAGTAACCTTATAGATATGTAAGATTGGAAGAAACTATTGAACATATTTGACCGCCCTTGCGAAATGGAATGTTCAGTTATGTTTAACTGATAATCATTGACAAGATTTGGTGTCCCTTTAGCACGTAGACAATTATGGCTCTCCACAGTTTCCTATCCTTGGTAGCTCTAAGCAATATT